TTGAATCTTGGAATGGAATTCTAGTCTGAGAAAGAAATCGATTTGTTTGTCAGAATCTATTATATTTAAAGCCATATTAAGCCATTCTTCAGTCTTTATAAGATGCTTTTCAAGTGTGTCATATTTTTTTTTAAGTCTTCACCATTATGCATATCTGATGTTCGTTGCTCTGGTTCACTAACCCCTGGAGGCTTACTAAAAGTAGGGATAGTGTAAGTCTTTCCATGTAACTTCATTTGAAATTGGTTTTTACTAGGGTCAAGAACACCATGAACCTTTCGAATTCATGTCATACCTATGCATAGCATTGGCTCAGATTCACCATTATTAATATGAGCAAAATTTCCAGTAGACGTAACAATCTTACCATCTTTGTCCTTTACACTAATTGGCATATCTGTATACCATTCTAATGATTCAGATATATGTTTGGAATTGCCCTTTATAGCAAAGTCAGAAGGCTTATTAGCTTTCCACCTTAGGATGTTAATTGTTACATCATTTACTCCTCCAAATTCACTTGCACTATCTAAAAAGGAATTAGTGATTAATAGATCATTTATATTACAATGCAAGTATTGCAATGACGAAAACCATTCATCTGATTTTGATTCTTTTTCCTGAACTATATGAGACTGACACATTTTACGCATTGCCGGTGAAAGCTTTAGTAATAGTTCATCGTATGTTTCAGGCTGACTAAATTCTAGAAGCATTTTTTCATTTACCGGTACCTGTTTTTTTTTCTAACTGAGATAGAGCATGCCATTTATTCTCTTCCTCGCTATATCTACCTTCTTCATTCTCATTATTATCCGAATCAGGAGATGCATATTGGGATTGAGAAGGTATTAGAGGAGAAAAGTATCGATATGTTGAATTTGATTTAGCTACGGGTTTTTTGTTATCAAGCATCATCGTCCCGAATTGAGATGTCATTTGACCGATTTTATCTACTTTCGATTCTATTCTATCTATTCTAGCATTTTGATTTGACGAATGCAATCGTTCTGGTTTAGTTGGTATGGGAGGAGGGAAAGCTTTATCTAACCACTGTAGTGCTTCTTTTCTACTAATATCTTTCTATCTAGGATCACCTTGACCTTTATAGAATTCTTGCATTTGTTCATAATCTTTGGGTAGAACTGGAGGGCGAGATTTTTTGGATTGTTGAGTCATTTTTGTTTCAAATTTGGCTTTCAATTTTTCAATCTCAGCTTTCTGTTTTTCAATCTCAGCTTTGGATTCAATCTTCTGTTTTTCCATCATAGCTTGGAAGGATTTTTGCATTTCATCATATGAAGAGAATACAGGTTGTGATATTATACTATCATCTTGCTTTGCTAATAATTTTTTCTTTGGTTGTGCTTGATCGAAATTTTGCCCTTCATTTAAACTAGAACGTTCAAGCCACATATTTTTCAATATAGTGAAAAATTCATCAATAGCCCCTATATTTTCATTTCTCATCCAACTATAAAGCTCACGATCTTCTGATAAATGAGTCTTAAGAGTCCCTAAAACATAGGCATCATTATTTGCTATACCTAATATAAGTGGACAGATTCTGGCTTCATACGTATCTGGTGTATCATAAGATTGGAATCTTTCTTGACTCAATCTTTGAATAGCTGAATTCTTAGTTTCAATTGTTTCTCGTTGATATTTTTCATTTAACCATGCTCGTATTATATCTGGACTATCGATATTAACTGGAGGATTTACAAAGTTATTTTGAGCTAATACTGGAGCATATTTTTCTGCCATCTTACCCTTCATAATTTCGACTTTGATAGCATCATCAAAATCTCCAGCATTTGCACCTTCAAGAGCTGTCATATTTGATATAGTAGAAGCTCATGCTTGTATAATCATATCACAGTAATCATTAGAGGGCATTTGACCAAAATATTGAGGAATCAGATTTAAAAGAGTAGATACATATTTCAATGTAGGTAAACATCTTGCTTCCACCATATTTAGTGGATTATTTTCTAGTAATAAATTTTGTTGCTGTAAATTCAAAATTATTTGCTGTGAATTATGCTCTCTATTTTTCCATTTAATATAGCTTGCTTTTCGGTTTTTCTATTTATTGTAATATCTATCATAAATCCGGTCTTGATTATATTCACAAAGACCTAAGTCAGCCTGGCATTGTTGCAATTGTTGCCATGCTTGGTCTCACACTTGCATATATTGATCACGCTCTTGCATATAATAATAAGAGTTCCATTGCTCATTTACAAGATCCTGTTGCAGATTGGCAAACTTTCAGCAAATTGATCTTGTTGCTCTTTTTATTTGGTTTGACAAAATCATTCTACTTGATGCTGTATTATTTAGATAGTCATCTA